GGGGGGGGGAGGCAATTTTTTAGGATGCTGTCCAGAGCCAGCTCCTGGGGCCCCTGGACAAATTCTTCCTTGTATCACCTTCACAGCAGGTGCCTCTAAGAACTTTTGTCGTGGTTTGTGCCCTCTGAAATGAGGCCCAGAGGACAAAGCCCAAAAGGCCATCATCAGGTTGAGAAAGTAACTGATCCCCTGACACCTGTATCACCCACCCAGGGAGAGAGGCCAGGGCCTGGGGGATGGGCAGGCCGGCTGCCAGGGCAGATGGTGGCTGTCTGGATCTACTCCTTGCAGGAGAGAGACTCTCCTTCCTGCCCTCCCCATCTGCCTGTCACGGCTGCCGCTGGGATCAGCCAACCTGGCATCTGGCCCGGGGGCTGGGCCAAGTGTATGAGTGTTGACCTGCACGTCAGCCCCGGGGCATGCAGTTTCAGATTCCAGAGGCTGAGCTGGCTTCGAGCCCTGCTGAGTCAACTCTGTTCTTGCTGGAGCTCCAAGCCAACCTGCCCAGGGTTCTTCCTGGCACACAGGCTTTTCTTTGCCAGCCTCAATTTCCTGACAGGGTAGAGTGGAGCTGGTGGGGAAGGAGGGAAAGGACTTCAGTCAAAGTTTGTTGAATGAGGGGCACCTGGGTGGCTCAGTCAGTGAAGCGACTGACGCTTTGGTTTTGGCTCAGGTCATGAATGAGGGGTTGTGGGATCAGGCCCTCCATCCAGCTCCTGGCTCATCAGGGAGTCGGCTGGAAAGATTCTCGCCCTCTGCCCCTCCCCTAACCCTGGCAGTAATAAGCATGAGCGGGCACGCTCTCTCTCAAAATAAATAAATCTTTAAAAAAATGTTTGTTGAGGGGCACCTGGGTGGCTCAGTGGTTGAGCCTCTGCCTTCAGCTCAGGTCATGATCTCAGTGTCCTGGGATCGAGCCCCGTGTCGGGCTCTCTGCTCAGCGGGGAAGCCTGCTTCCTCCTCTCTCTCTGCCTGCCTCTCTGCCTACTTGTGATCTCTGTCAAATAAGTAAATAAAACCTTTAAAAAAAAAATGTTTGTTGAATGAATGCTTGGACTTTCGGAATGGACATGGTCCAGCCCCACAGCCTCACTGAGTGCTTCCTTTGTCCCGGCCTTGCCCTTACCCCAGGCTGAGTGTTGGGCTTTCTCCAGTAGCCTGGGAATTACTGCCCGATAACAGGACCGTTTGTTGAATGAATGAATGAATGAATGAATAAATGAGCAGGGGGAGCCCTTCTTTCCTCTATCAGCTCTTGCTGTTCCGAGGTGTTTGCTTTGATACAGGCCAAGACTGACGACACTACAGACCCTGGGGTAGAGGGTAGACTGGGGAGTGAGCCCCGAGCTGGAGGGTGTACAAGAGAGACCCGGGGCCAGCCCTAGGGCGCTCAGTTGCGGGAAGTGCAATGAGAGACGTTAGACGATCCCACAAACACATCTGCAGTGACGAATCCGTGAGCGGGAAGGAGTGTGGGAGCTCAGAGTCGGCTCCCTAGCGGTCCAGCCCGGGGCCTTCGGCTGCTCTCCTCTCCGGGAAGTCTCTGGAGGCGGGGGTGTTTGGGGTGTCCCGGGCTCCATGCCTGGCCTTGCTGGACCCAGCGCACCAGGGCCCTTTCTTATTCGTCTCTTTCCGCCCTCTCCCCAGCTTCTGACTTGGGGAGCAGGGTCCGGAGGACCCCCAGCCCCGAGGGTCCCCGCTGAGCGCAGCGGGTGCGGCGTGGAGGGCTTGAGATCCAGCGCTTGGAAGGGGGGTCGCGGAGAGTCACGTCTTGCGTGGTCGGCGGAGAAGACACTCCAAGGCCTGGCGGGGAGGAGCTAGAGTTTTGCACCCCCCGGGCGCCCCTCCACTCGCAGAACTAGCCGACCCCGGGAGCACAGAACCCCACCCCCGCCGCACGCCCCGCCCTCGGCACTCCCTGCGCCCCGCCTCCGAGGCTCCCCCTTCCCTCTGCACCGGCCTTATAAAAGGGGGAGTCGCGGGGACAAACTAAGCCCAAAGGGCTGGAGGCTGTGATCCGAGGTTCGTAGTGGCTTCTCACGTGAGTGTGTCTCCGCCAGGGCTGCCGCGTCTCCAGCCCTCGACTCCCGAGCCCCGGCGTCCCCAAGTCCAGGACACTCCCGGAAGGATGCGCCGCGCTCCGACGGCTTCGGCAGCCCTCATGCTGTGTGCGGCCACCGCCGGGCTGCTGAGCGCGCAGGGCCGCCCCGCGCCCCCTCCCGAGCCGCCGCGCTTCGCGTCCTGGGACGAGGTGAACGTGCTGGCGCACGGGCTCCTGCAGCTCGGCCACGGGCTGCGCGAGCACGTGGAGCGCACCCGGGGGCAGCTGGGCGCACTGGAGCGGCGTCTGAGCGCCTGCGGAGCAGCTTGCAAGGACTCCGGGGGGTCCGCCGCGCCCCCGCGCGCGCCCGAGGGTCCGGGCCCCAGAGGCGAAGCTGTCCCCGACACTCTCCGCAGCCTGCAGGTACTGGTGCTCCTACTTCTCCTCCGCGAGTCTTAAACGGTGGAGACCAGTGGGGACTGGGCGGGGGATGCATTCGGGCTTCCCTGGGAGGGAGAGTTGGAAGGAGGGACCGGTGGATGAATGGGGAGGCTTGCCGCCGGAGACCGGGTCCTCACCACTGTTTTCCCGCTCTCCCAGACTCAGCTCAAGACTCAGAACAGCAGGATTGAGCAACTCGTCCACAAGGTAGCCCAGCAGCAGCGGCATCTGGAGAAGCAGCACCTGAAAATACAGAATCTGCAAAGCCAGGTGCTGATGCTTGCCCGGGGTGGGGCAGGAGGTCGAAGCTCGACCTGTGGGTGTGGACTTGGAGGCGGGTTAAGCAGTTTAGAGCCCCGGGAGCCAGCCAGACCTGATATTCTCCTCCTGTCCCGCCTAGGTGGGTCTTCTGGCCCCCACGCACCTGGACCACGGGGTGGCCAAGCCTGCCAGGAAGAAGAGGCTCCCCAAGACGGTGCAGCTCGGGGGCCCTGCTCACAATATCAGCCGCCTGCGCAGTGAGTGTCCCGTCTTTTGCTGTCCCCTGGCAACCCCCCCCCAACCACACACATACACACACACACACACACGCCATTCCTGTCCCCCTCCTGGTCTGGTCCACCTTACTGGGAAGAAGAGAGGCCCCAGCTCTGGGTTCCTGGGGGCTCACTTGTCTCTCAGGTAAAGGACTGATGGGGGTACATCCCACCTCATCCCTGCCCCTGACCAGGCAGGCCACCCCATCCTTCTTCCTGCCAGTGGCTCTCCCCAAAGCCTCACTGGCCACTAGCTGGAGCAGGGATTGGGGAAGAGGGTCCAGGAGGAAACAGAGCTGCAGGGGCGTGGGGAAGGGGGTGTTGCAGTGAAAGGACACCTTCCTGAAGGCTGGGACCTCCTCTGAGGGCACAGTGGTGGACAAGAGGGTGCTAGCCAGGGATCCTGGAGTTCTGGCTGGGTGAAGAGAGATAGCGCCTGGGATGGGGGTTCTGAGCTTGGGCGCCCTATGGTCTCTTGGAGTGCAGATCTAGGAGGGGGGCAAAGGCAGGGAACCTCCATGTCCCTGCCCAGACACACCACTCACTCTTGAATCTCTTACAAATCCAGGGTTCCTGACCCACACATCTGGTCCCTCACCTCTCTCTTGGTCCCAAAGTCTCTGATCACCCCCTTCCTTCTCCCCCATTCCTGCTAAGAATGAGCCTTTGCGACTGTCACAAGTTCTGGGTCCTCTATTGCGTATCCCAGATCGCCCCAAATCTCCTCCCGCAGCATGTCTCTGTGTGTCTGGCACAGGATCCCAGCTCCTGGTTTCTCTGTCTCCACCCTAAATTCAGGGCTCCCGTTGGCCACTGGCTTCCCTGTAGTCCCCCTGTCCCATCACCGCAACCTGGCATGGAGAGCTATGTGCAGCCGACTGAGTGAGAGCTCGGCTTCCCCCCTTCACACCCTGGGGCTCGGGGCTGGCTGTCTGCCCTCTCATCTTGAGAGCTCCTCCTCCCCTACCCACCCACCAGCTCCCTCTGCTGACTCTTCCTCCATCCCAGGCCAGTAAGTGTCCAGTGTACCCTCCCAACCATCCCCCCTGGGAAGGGCTTGGAGCTAGCCAGCAGCCAAAGGTCTGGGCTGGGGGATGTGAGCTGTGGGGTGCATGGGTTTGGGGACTCCCAGACTTGGGGCTCAGCCCTGCCAAGTAGGGGAAGGTTCAGAGCTGGAGAGACAAACAGCTGGTGTTAATGGAAGCCACATTGGTGGTTTGGCCGGGTGCCCTCCAGTTAGGAAGAAAAGAAAGTAGGGGAAAGGGGAGCTGTTCCAGGGGCCGGAAAATGTCTCCAGTCACGCTGGCCCCGCCCCCATCCGCCCCCCCCTCCAGTGTGGACTTCCCCCTCCCTCTGGCGACCTTTCCCCTACTTTCCTGGCTGGGCTGGGGGTGGGACTTCCCCAGCTTTTGGACCTCCTCCCTCTTCCCCTCCTTCTTTTCCTCTTCCGTTCATCAATCCTTCCCCTGTGGAAACCCAGGGGAAACCCTCCTGGAAACCCACCCCTGCAAACCCCATGCAGACCCTCACCTGACAAAGCAGGGCTACTTCTGCTTGGCTCCCCTTCCCCCTTCCCCACTCTGGCCCAGCTTCTCACTCACTCATTCCTCTAGTCTCTATTAAACACCTGCTGTGGGCTAGGATCAGCTTGGGCACTGGTGCCAGACTGGGCAAAGAGCCACTCTGTCCCTGGCCCCATGTTATCCTTATTCAGTGGCGGAGAGACCACCAGATGACCCTAGTGGTGTTGGGAGTGGGAAATCATCAGTGCTCCTTTTGGGAGGCTGGCCTGGTCTGGGAGTCAGGAAAGGCATCCCTTCTAGAAGCTGGGATCTTTAGAATGAGGCAGGAAAGGCCTGAGGGAAGAGGACCCTGGGCAGCATGACTGGCATGTGCAAAGTCCCTGTTGCAGGAGGGCGCGTGGGGCGGGGAAGGCTGTGTGGCGGGAGGTCGGAGGGTGGTGTGGGAGGAGGGAGGATGACTCAGGGACCATCCAGGAGGGAGCCTTTGTGAACCTGGGACTGCCCCCTCATGTTCCTGTCACCCACTGCCAGCCCCTCACATGCCTGTTTCCTGGGAACCCTCCTGCCTCACTCTCCCTGCTCCTCTCTCTGCCTGCCCTTCAGGGCTGCCCAGGGACTGCCAAGAGCTGTTTGACGAGGGAGAGAGGCAGAGTGGACTGTTCCAGATCCAGCCTCAGGAGTCCCCGCCCTTCCTGGTTAACTGCAAGATGACCTCCGGTAGGATTCACGGGCCCCCTGGGGTCATCTCTCTGTCAGATGCGTCTCCCCACCACTACCCCTTGTTGAGCCAGGTTCCGTGGGCCCCGAGAGAGCTCTTTAGATTTCTGCCGCCCCCTCCCTCCCCACTGGGTCCTTGGGACAATCAATGCTCTAGGCTGAGCCCCTTGCCCAATGGCCAGCCCACCTTTGACCATCTTCATCCAGTCCTTCTGGGCTGTATGAAAGCAACATTGCCCTTTCCAGATTTGGAGGCAGTTTGGGGTTTGAGAGTCAGGTGGGGAGTCAGAATCCCCCGCCAGCAGGGTCCTCCTGACGACATCGCACCTTTCTGGGCAGATGGAGGCTGGACTGTAATTCAGAGACGCCAGGATGGCTCTGTGGACTTTAACCAGCCCTGGGAAGCCTACAAGGCTGGCTTTGGAGATCCCCAAGGTGGGTATTTCCAGTGGGGCCAGAGGCACTGGGGGCAGGAGGGGGCGTGGAGACGGGTCTGTCTCTCTGATCGGCCTCTCCCTGGTAGGTGAGTTCTGGCTGGGCTTGGAGAAGGTGCACCGCATCCTGGGGGACCGCGGCAGCCGCCTGGCCGTGCAGCTGCATGACTGGGAGGGCAACGCTGAGTTGCTGCAGTTCCCTGTCCACCTGGGCGGTGAGGACACCGCCTACAGCCTGCAGCTTACAGCTCCTGTGGCCAGTGAATTGGGGGCCACCACTGTGGCGCCCAGTGGCCTCTCCCTGCCCTTCTCCACTTGGGATCAGGACCACGACCTCCGTGGGGACAAGAACTGTGCCAAGAGCCTCTCTGGTGAGCAAGCTCTGCCCCTCCCTGTCCTGCCTTGTACCTCAAGGGCAAGACCTCCCCCGCCCCCTGTCCTGCGTCTCTGTCCTGCCTTCAAGGCCAAATTCCACCGATTCTCTGCCTCCTTTTCTCCTTACTGTGCTGTGTGCCTTTGGGCAGCTGACTTAGCCTCTCCCGCCTTCAGTTTGCCGTCTTTAAAATGGGTGTAGCCAGTGCCCACTCCATAAGCTTATTTCGAGATGACATTTGTGGGATAGTGGCTGGCATGTGACAAAACCACGAAGATAAACCCTATTTTGTTCTAATGAAATCAGAGGCAGAGCCTAGGCCCTGTAAAGTAAAATCTGTGAGGCCACTTTTTGGTGGGTCCAAAAATGATGGAAAACCAGTAATTTCATGTGGGTCAGTCTAATATATAAATTGATGAGCCGGACAATGATCATAGAAAGTCTTTAATAAACATATGCCATTGGGGCTCCTGGGTGGCTCAGTCGGTTAAGTATCTGCCTCCGGCTCAGGTCATGACCCCAGGGTCCTGGGATCGAGCCCCGCACTGGGCTCCCCCTGCTCAGCAGGGCACCCGCTTCTCTCTCTTCCTCTGCCTGCTGCTCCCCCTGCCTGTGCTCACTCTCTCTCTCTCTCTGTCAAATAAATAAAATCCTTTAAAAATACAATAAACATTTGCCATGTGCCAGGTACGGAGAAGGAATGTGCCACAGTCATAGCCATGAAAGCTGTAGTTACTGGGAAGTGGGGGGGGCCCTTTGTCACAACCTGGGGTCCCTCCGGACACAGTGTGACAATCACTAGAAATGTCTTCTCCTCTAAAGTTTGTAAAGTTCGCCCCCTAGCCTCCTCTCCATCCTAGCCCCAGCGGAGGCATGAGGACCCAGCCTGACCAGGTTCTGTTTTCTCGGACCCCAACAGGTGGCTGGTGGTTTGGCACCTGTGGCCATTCCAACCTCAACGGCCAGTACTTCCGTTCCATCCCACACCAGCGGCAGCGGCGTAAGAAGGGCATCTTCTGGAAGACCTGGCGGGGCCGTTACTACCCACTACAGGCCACCACGATGCTGATCCAGCCCACAGAGACTGAAGTAGCCTCCTAGCCTCCTCCCTGGGGCCTGGTCTCAGGCTCATAGAGGATAGTGACTCTGACTCTGGCCCGGCATGTGGCCACTCCCTGTCTCGCCAGGGGCTCAAGATGGGGCCATCTGGAGCCTTGTGGACAGAGAAGCAGCTCACAAGTGGAGATGCCCCGTTTTCCGAGTGGGGGAGCTGCAGGTGATAGATATCCTCTGAGGACAGAGCTGTAGGTCTACAGGGCACAGATTCCTGGAAACATGAGACTGAGGGGTGTTGAGACCTACTCCTTGCCCGCATAAGGAGTTGGGGACCTGAAGGGACCACTTGGGGGCAGCCAGGCCAGCCCTCGAAGGCGGATTCGGTCACATTGACTGGCTGGGGGACCAGGGCTCCCATGGGCGCCCAGGGCCCTCACCGTGCTCTGGAGTATGGGTGCTGTGGGATGACCCAGCGCCCGGGGTGTCCGGGCAGAGCTTGCAGAATCCTTGTAATAAAAGCAACCTCAGAACATTTCATTCTTCTTTGTTCTTCAGTTCGTTTTTTTAAGAAGTGGGCAGTTTCAAAGTCCACGGAAATATGTTCCCAGGATAGAGGGTGAACACTCCCAGATTTTTTGAGGACAGCACTGGTTAGTCCTACCACCTGACAACTGATTTTAATTTCCTTTATTCATGATTTCGCAACATGTGTCTCAATTTTTATTTTCAAAATAACTGAAACCCTCTTTCGATCCTTCCGGAAGCAGATAATGGGGGAAATGAGAGCCCCTTCGTGATCATACTTACACACAGGAATCACAGTGAACTTCTTAGCATCTGGCTATCTGATAGAAATATAATGTGAGTCACATGTTGAATTTTATTTTTTTTCTAATGGCCATGTTAAACAAACAAACAAAAACACACATAACCAAAAACAAAGTTAAATAAAGTCGGGGCGCCTGGGTGGCTCAGTCACTAAAGCATCTGCCTTTGGCTCAGGTCACGATCTCAGGGTCCTGGGATGGAACCCACATCAGGCTCTCTGCCCAGTGGGGAGCTTGCTTCTCCCTCTCCCACTGCCCCTCCCTGTGCTTGTGCTCTCTCTCTGTCAAATAAGTGAATAAAATCTTAAAAAAAAAAATATGGGGCTCCTGGGTGGCTTGGTGGGTTAAGTCTCTGCCTTCGGCTCAGGTCGTGATCCCAGCATCCTGGGATCGAGTCCCACATCGGGCTCCTTGCTCCGAAGGGAGCCTGCTTCTCCCTCTGCCACTCTGTCTGCCTGTGCGCGCTCTCTCTCTCTCTCTCTCTCTCTCTCTCTGACAAATAAATAAATAAATAAATAATCTTTAAAAAAAAAAAAAAAAGCAAAAAGAGGTGTGCCTGGGTGGCTGAGTCCATTAAGCATCAAACTCTTGATTTCAGCTCAAGCTCTGATCTCAGGGTTATGAGATGGAGTCCCGCAGTGGGCCCAGCTGGGCATGGAGCCTGCCTAAGATTCTTTCTCCCTCTACCCCTCCTCCCATCACTCTCCAAAAAAAAAAAAAAGAAAAGAAAAGAAAGAAAGGTAAAAAGAAACATATGAAATGAATTTTATTAGCATGTTTTTATTGGGGTAGCTCAGTTGGTTCAGCACCTGGCTCTTGATCTCAGCTCAGGCCATAATCTCAGGGTCGTGGGATTGAGCCCCGTGTCATCTCCATATTCAGCTTGGGATTCTCTCTCTTCCTCTTCCTTTGGCCTCCCTGTCCCCTCACATGCATTCTCTCTCTCTAAAAAAAGTTAAAAAATAAAATGTATTTTTATCAAACCCAGTATAACCAAAATATTGCCTTTCAACATGGGAGTTATGTACAAGTCATTAATATATTAATTAATACAGGTTATTATATAATATTAATATTGTATTAAAGTATATACACTTTTTTTAATACCAACTCTTTGGAACCTAGTGTTTATTTTATGCTTAAAGTACATCTCAAATGGGACAGTCCATATTTTTTATTAACTTTTTTCTTTAAGATTTTATTTATGTGTCAGAGAGAGAGAGAGAGAAAGCACGTATAAGGGGGAGCAGCAGGCAGAGGGAGAAGCAGCCTCCCCGCTGAGCAGGGAGCCCAGTGTGGGACTCGATCCCAGGACCCAGGGGTTAATGACCTGAGCTGAAGACCTTTAGCCCACCAAGCCACCCAGGAGGCCCGGGACTAACCATATTTCATGGGCTTGACAACCACAGGGGATAATGATCACCGTATTGGACATCACAGTTCTAGTGTGTACATTCATTCAGTGTTTTGGGTAAATTCTTCCCATTTTAACCACATCTGCTGAAATTATCCTGTAAGTTGGACATAAAAAATATATATATAAATTCAACTAATATTTATTGAGATTCTACTACATCCCAAGCTGAGACCCTGGGAAGACTTGGGATACTCTAGTGAACAAAAAGATTCATACCCTCACCATGCTTACCTTCAAAGCCCCTCCATATTACAGATAGGCTGGCCTATAGCTGATGGTCCAAAATGAGGCCACCACTTTGGGTGGGGAAAACCTAGGAATAGTGGCTGAGACCCTGGGAAGATGGGTGGGATTGACTGAGAAAGGGCATGAGGCAGGCATCTCCAGTGATGGTGATGTTCTGAACCCTGATAGAGGTGGGTTACTCCTCCATAAAGCTATATGCCTCTGTCTCTGTGAATGCACAATTAAGGTTGTATTTCATTGTATGTAAGTTTCACCTTAGAAGGAAAAAAAAAAAGAAAAAGAGCCATAAACAAATACTGAATTCTAGTTAATGATATGTGTGCTCAAGTGTAAGCAAACTAATGTCTTCAAGTTTCTTTCATTTTTATTTTTTTCCAGCTATATTGAGATACAACTGACATAAGACATTGTGTAAGTCTAAGGTGTACAATGCATTGATTTGATACACATATGTACTGTAAAATGGCTACCCCCATAGTGTGAGCGGTTACCTCCATCACACCCTAGTTGTTCTTTTCTGTGGTGAGAGCATTTAACCCCTGCTCTCTTAGCAACTTTCAAGTACTAACTATAGTCACCATGCCATACATTAGAGTCCTCCAAAGTTTCAACTTTCTTTGAAATTCATCAGAGTGTTGGGTGGGTGGACAGAGAGATGGATATGTGATAAAATAAAATGTTAATAGTGGAATCTAGATATTTTCTACACGATTCTTTTCATTTCTCAAAATGTTAAAAATTCACAATAAAACATGGGCAAGAAAAATTCTAGCCTGATCCTGTTGCCTTCTGCAGGCTCTCAGCCTGTGTTGGAGCTCTGTATAGAGAGGGAGATGGGGGGCATCGGGGAGGGGGGGCACAGAGTCAGTCAAGCGTCCAACTTTTGGTTTTGGCTCAGGTGGTGATCTTGGGGTTGTGAGATCAGGCCCCACGTTGGGCTCCGCACTCAGTGTGGAGGAGTCTGTTTAAGACTCTCTCTCCCTCTGCCCCTTCCCCTCTCTGCTCTCTCTCTCTCTCTCTCAAATAAATAAACAAACAAATAAATCTTTTTTTTTTTTTAAATGAGGGGCACCTGGGTTGCTCAGTTGGTTGAGTGTCTGTCTTTGGCTCAGGTCATGATCACAGGGTTCCTGGATTGGGCCCTGCACTGGGCTCCCTGCTCAGTGGGGCATCTGCTTCTCCCTCTGCCTCTCCCCCGGCTCGTGTTCTCTGCCCCCACCCCCATCATATAAATAAATTAAATCTTTTTAAAAATTTTAAAAAAGGGGCGCCTGGGTGGCTCAGTGGGTTAAAGCCTCTGCCTTCGGCTCAGATCATGGTCCCAGGGTCCTGGGATCAAGCCCAGCATCAGGCTCTCTGCTCAGCAGGGAGCCTGCTTCCTCCTCCTCTCTCTGCCTGCTTGTGATCTCTGTCAAATAAATAAATAAAATCTTTAGAAAAAAATTTTAAAAAAAAAGGGAGATGAGCGGTAGAAAACTGTTCGAGAGGTATGAGCAAAAGAGAGCAAGCCTCTCTCCTTAATAGATAATACTTGAGAAATGGGGAAAAAGATACAACTTTCTCAGCAAGTGGTTCAACCGTCTTTAATGCACTGCCTAAAAGTGCCACTCATATCATGTGGTCTGGCATAATGTGATGCCTTGTCTCCGGGACACACGTTTGGGAAAAACAACATCTGTCTGAGCCCTGAGCCCCAGCTGCTGTTTTAATAGGAAAACATATCTTTGCAATATGTTTTTTAAATGTTCTTGGGAAAGAAGTGGGGGCCTCCTTTGCTAAAGGAATAGTCTGTGCTTTTCTGGTCCTGTGACTCCTTCCTGGTTGTGCTGGGGACACAGTAGCTTCGCTGGGACCCTGGCTGAGTGTGGGTGATGAACTCATTTGGAGGCCGGACCTTCTCCAGGCTCCTTGTTTGGGGGTGTCCTGTCCCAGGCAGGCTTGCAGAGTCTCCCTTGAGCCCACTGTGCCTGAAGGTGGTGGGATGTGCCTTCTAGGTAGGTTGGGGTGGTAGGGGGTTCCCTCACCTCTGCCCTCTTAATTCTCAACCTCTGCCAAGAGAGCTTATCTCCCCAACCCTCCCCGTTCCCCTGTCATCACCACCTCTTCCATCCCAGGAACAAGAAAAAATAACCACTAGGATTGGGAACCAGACAAGAGCCAGGTTGGGAATCCAGACCCATCCAACTCCAGATTTGGAACTCTTCAACCTCATCGTTCTTCTAGTTGACCAGAGATAGTCTGTTAAAGCCCTGAGGCCTCAGTTCCTTCATCTGGAAAATGGGGGCGGGGAGCCTCTGGTACCCCACCCTCCGATCCCTACCCCTTTCTGTTCTCCTGGTGCTGTGAGGATTTCATGTAGCAGTAAATGAAAAGCTCTGCAAACAGTGTCTGGCTCCTAGCACACCATATAAACATTAGTCAACATTACTAATATTACTATGAGCTATCCTGGAGGGTTGCGGGGAGAGGAGCATAACCCAGACAGGAGAAAAGGCTTCAGGGTGGAGGTTGCTTTTGAGTCAGGTTTCAAAGAAGGATGAAATTCCTACAGAGAAGGTGGGAGGATGGTATTCCAGGAGGAGGGCACAGTGAGAGCAAAATCTAGTGACCTTGGCAGGAAGTAAAGCTCACTGGGGAACCATTTAATAGCCCCACCTGACTGTGGCATCTGGGCAGGGAGCCAGGATGGTGAGCTGGGGGTGGGTGGGGAGGGCATTTGTGTGGGAATGTGCAAGGCTTCAAGCCAACTGCCCGGGAGTGTGCTGACAAGGTCCCTGGGAGTGTCCACTCTGGTCTGGCTTCCAGCCTTGATTTTTCACCTTGTCCAATCTCTTGGCCCCTGATCCCCACTCTCCAGCCACCAGGGCCACCTGGCTTTTCAGACCCATCGGAGTCTCTCTCACTTGCTGTTGTGTCCTTCTGAAATGCTGTTCCCACCACCTCCTCCTCTTCCCCCAAACAGTGCAAATGCCACCTTCCCCAAGATGCCTTCCCTGGGTTCCCAGCTAAGGAGTGTCACCATCATCACATAATCC